ACCCCGAGGTACTTGAACTCCTTCACTTGGAGTAAGTACTCATTCCCTACCCGGAGTAGGCACTCCACCGGTTTCCTGCTGAGAGTCATGGCCTCAGATTTAGAGGTGCTAACCCTCATCCCAGCCGCTTCAGGATTGGTGACAAAGCGCAGCCCTGGCGGAGGCCAACCCCCACCGGGAACGAATCCGACTTACTGCCGAGAACACGGACACAGCTCATGCTTTGAGCGTACAGAGATTGGATGGCCCTGAGAAGAGACCCCCTCACCCCATACTCCCGCAGCACCTCCCACAAAATATCCCGGGGTACCCGGTCATACGCCTTCTCCAGATCCACAAAACACATGTAGACTGGATGGGCATACTCCCAGGCCCCCTCCAGGATCCTTGCGAGAGTAAAGAGCTGGTCCGTGGTTCCCCGGCCAGGACGAAAACCGCATTGTTCCTCTTCAATCTGAGGTTCGACTATTGGCCGAACCCTCCTTTCCAGCACTTTGGAGTACACTTTACCAGGGAGGCTGAGGAGTGTGATACCTCTGTAATTGGCACACACTCTCACACAGAAGTACAAACCCACATAGACCAACCCGAATCTGACAAAGAAATTAAAAAGATATGTCTGGCAAAATGTGTGTCTCAATCAATGTGTGTAAATGTATGTAGCCTGGTGTAAAGTGCAACTACAGGACACAAATTAATGTTTGGGTAATTTATTCTGATGAAATGTATTGAACTACAAAAGCATTATTATACTACAAAAACAGTAGTGGCATATTATCGCCAGTCAAATCCTACACAATGATTTAGAAGTCACTGTCGTGCGCCAACCCTCTATTTACACATGTAAAATCCTTTTCCAACTTCCCTGTGCAAACCTAACAACTGCCACCTAGTGGACCAAACAAAAACAACACTGTTCTGTTACAAGAGTTTTTAGTTAATTGTGTTTTCCTATGTAAATTCAATGTTTATGATGGGTAGTGGTTCCTTTAAGAAAGGCAGGAAGTGAGTAGCTGATTCACCTTTAACCTACCCTTTTAGTTTAATCACAAAGTGATTACCAATGGAAGAGAGAAGTGCATGTTTCCAGACTACCTGATCAATCAGCAAACATCTGCTCACATCTCGCAGCATCGTTGTTTCACCTCTTTTTCCGAATCAATAAACCTGTGGACAACGGACAACTGTCTTCAGAGTTTTGATGAACGGAAGGTGTTTAACTTACTGCCAAAGTTATATTCAGCACATATAATAGAGGGCGGCACAGTGATACAACGATGCTGCGACGCAGAAGATAACACAGTATACGCTGGAGACAGACCATGGAAAAGGAAGAATCTACACACAGGACTAGGTCCTCAGCTTGATGTTCTTCTAAATGCTCGAGAGCCTCTTCCACCGAGGCTGCTGCCACCATGGCTCGTGCTAAAGCAGAGGCAGCCAAGGCACGTCTACCTCATGCAAAAATGGAAATGTCTCTGAAATTAGAAAAAGCTAAATTAGAGGCCACAATAGACATGTTGTCGTTAGAAAAAGAAACGACCGCTGCTGTGGCCGAAGCAGAGGTCCTGGAGGCAGCCGTCGACGGCAGTGATCGGAGCAGCTGCAAGCTTCAACTCGAAGCGACTCCTCTCGACCCAATTCAGCGTACCAGGGAATATGTCGCTAAACAGGCCAACGAGCAAAATGAAACACAATTTGCACCAGCAGCGCAAGTACTCTCTCAAGACGATCGGTCCTAGGCCCTCTCCTTTTCTCCTTATACACCCGGTCTCTTGGCTCTGTCATATCCTCACATGGCCTCTCCTATCACTGCTATGCTGATGATACCCAACTATTTTTCTCATTCCCACAGTCTGAAACCCAGGTGGCATCCCGTATCTCTGCATGTCTGACTGACATCTCGGCCTGGATGTCTGCACACCATCTGAAACTCAACCTAGGTAAAACTGAACTGCTCTTCTTCAAAGGAAGAGCCTGCCCGCTCCAGGATCTGTCCATTACGGTGGACAACGTCACATTCCCTGCTACCCAATGTGGGAAAAACCTTGGCGTGACCCTTGACAACTCCTTCTCATTTTCTGCACACATCAAGGCGGTGTCCCGGTCTTGCAGGTACATGCTCTACAACATTCGGAAAGTAAGACCGTATCTTACGCAGGAAGCCGCACAAGTGCTGATCCAGGCACTTATCATCTCCCGTCTCGACTACTGCAACTCCCTTCTGGCTGGTCTCCCAGTGTGCGCCATCAAACCCCTGCAACTCATTCAAAATGCAGCAGCCCGCCTGATCTTCAATCTACCAAAGTTCTCCCACGTCACTCAGCTGTTCCGCACACTACTCTGACTCCCGGTCGAAGCACGCCTCCACTACAAAACCATGGTGCTAGCCTATGGGGCAACAAGAGGAACCGCCCCCTCCTACATCCAGTCACTAATCAAGCCGTACACACCCACGCGAGCACTTCGTTCTGCCACCTCAGGCCTCTTGGTAGTGCCATCCCTATGGGAGGGCAACTCTCGATCTGCTCAGTCTAAATTGTTCTCCGTGCTTGCCCCGCAATGGTGGAACAACTCCACTCTGGAGATCAGATCATCGGACTCTCTACCAATCTTCAAAAAACGTCTAAAAACATTCCTCTTCAAACTGTACCTTCAGTAGCTCCATGAATGGAGCTCCACAACTCTCGACTGTTTGAAACTTCACTACCGAATCATTCTTCTATCTCTAGCACTTCCCCCTGCACCCACCCAGGAACAATGTACTTATTGCCTTTTTGATGTGTGTTTTAGCTATATGTGAAATGCCTGCACTTATTGTAAGTCGCTCTGGATAAGAGCGTCTGCTAAATGCGCAAAATGTAAATGTAAATGTAAGACGAGTCCAGGCGGCTACACACAGAATCAGCGATAGTATGCCCCATCCAAACCCCCCACCTTAAGGCAGAGAGTAGTCCACCCGACGCTGACCTTCGCTCTACAGCACCTAACAGAGTAACAGTTAGGAACCCACAGCTCACTCCAGATATGCCAGATCACAATGGCACATATGGACCAAGATCTGGGAACAACAATCATCTATCTCCCTCTGTGGCTGGCCATGATCCTCAATACCTCCACCATGACCAATCAAACATGAATGACTTTGTCAGATATCTGGCCCGCCGTGAGCTGGTCACCACAGGTTTGATCCAATTCAACGACCAACCACAGAGCTACAGAGCCTGGCAACGGTCCTTTCTGAATGCCGTCAGAGGCCTAGATCTGACATGCAGTGAGGAGATGGATCTGCTGGTCAAGTGGCTGGGGAAAGAATCAGCTGAGCATGCAAAGCGGATCAGGACCGTCCATGTTAACCTCCCAGACATGGGACTTAAGATGATATGGGATAGACTGGATGCACGCTACGGAGCCCCCGAAGTAATTGAAGATGCACTTTTTCCGAGGTATCGATAGTTTCCCAAAAATCTCCAACAGAGATTACTCGAAACTCCACGAGTTTAGTGATCTCCTTATGGAATTGGGGGCAGCAAAGGCAGACGGAGATCTTCCAGGCCTTCGATACCTAGACACTTCAAGAGGAATAAATCCTCTAGTCCAAAAGTTGCCCTTTAGCCTGCAGGAGAAGTGGCTGTCCCTCGGATTCAGCTACAAACAGCAGCACCATGTCTCCTTCCCCCCTTTCGAAGTTTTTGTCGACTTGATCTCCCAACAAGCTAAAATCAGGAACGATCCAAGCTTTAACTTCTCAGGCCAACCGGATGCCCTTCCTAAAGCAGACAAGACTCCTTGGAGTGTTTCTGAGACCCGACTCCTCGGGTCTCAGAAACACGTTCTCCTCCCCACTGTTCTCGGGTCTCAGAAACACACTCTCTTTTGCCCTCCCCGCTGTCCTCGGGTCTCAGAAACACGTTCTCCTCTCCGCTGTCCTCGGGTCTCAGAAACACGTTCTCCTCCCCGCTGTCCTTGGGTCCCGGGAAACACAAGCTCTCTTGCCCTGCCCGCTGTCCTCAGGTCTCAGAAACACACTCTCTCTGCCCTGCCCGCTGTCCTCGGGTCTCAGAAACGAAGGCGGAAGAGGCCCCGGACGAGGGCATCCCCCACGGTGTTTTTTTCGCCCCCGCCGATAAATACTAATAAAGACAGTGATAATAGATGGACGACCGTGAAACGCGCCCGCGTCTTTGTATTTCGGGCTCCTCTTTTCTGGCAATACTCTGAGGGCTGTGAAAAGAGATCGAGGGTCACTCTGACCTGCTCGACTCGGGCTGTGTACGCGACGCAAGGACAACGGCGGGGTTAGATGCCGAGGTGGCGAGTTCGAGCCTCGCCCTGGGCGGTGTTTTTTTTCACCCTCCCAGATAATTACTAGTAGCAATAATAATAATAAACCGATAACGGTGAAACACGTGCACATTGTTGTATTTCGGCATCCTCCTTTTTGCAACACTCTGAGGGCTGTGAAAAGAGATCGAGTGTCACTCTGACCCGCTCGACTCGGGCTGTGTACGCGATGCGAGGACAACACGAGGGTTATGCATCAGAACATTATGAACGTAAAACGCAGGTTGTCAAATCAATTTTCTAGGGGGCACCAGGATTTGAACCCGAGACCTGTTGATCTGCAGTCAAATGCTCTACCACTGAGCTATACCCCCGATGTTGACCACAGTTTCTTGAAAAACAAGTTCAGGATGATGCATTTTACTCAATTAAGTGGCGTTACACATCAGAATGTACATACAAAATCATTATCAAAACTCAAATGAGGTATGCCCTGCATGTCGCTAAGTCTATCATCTTCTTGAGCATTTGACTGCAGATCAAGAGGTCTCAGGTTCTAATCCTGGTGCCCCCTAGAAAATTGATTTGACAACCTGTGTTTTACGTTCATAATGTTCTGATGCTTAACAATACGGTCAGTTGAAAGCATCTTCTTTCGTATTGTTAAGCATCAGAACATTTTGAACGTAAAACGCTGATTGTCAAATCAATTTCCTAGGGGGCACCAGGATTTGAACCTTAGATCTGCAGTCAAATGCTCTACCACTGAGCTATACCCACAATGTTGAACAAACATTTCTTGAAATACAAGCTCCCGAAGATGCGTTCCACTCAGTTAAGTGGCGTTACACATCAGAAAGGTTTGCATCAAACATACAAGTTCAATATCAAAAGTGGTATGCCCTGCATGTTGCTAATTCTGATCTGCAGTCAAATGCTCGACCACTGAGCTATACCCCCGATGTTGAACCTAGTTTCTTGAAATACAAGCTCCGAAGATGCATTCAACTCAGTTAAGTGGCGTTACACATCAGAAAGGTTTGCATCATACATACAAAATCATTATCAAAACTCAAATGAGGTATGCCCTGCATGTTGCTAATTCTGTCAAGACATACAAACTAAAGAAGATGCTTTCAACTGATCGTATTGTTAAGCATCAGAACATTTTGAACGTAAAACGCTGATTGTCAAATCAATTTCCTAGGGGGCACCAGGATTTGAACCTGAGATCAGCAGTCAAATGCTCGACCACTGAGCTATACCCCCAAAGTTGAACAAACGTTTCTTGAAATACAAGCTCCCGAAGATGCATTCAACTAAGATAATTGGCGTAACACATCCGAGAAGTTTGCTTCATACATACAAAATCATTATCAAAACTCAAATGAGGTATGCCCTGCATGTTGCTAATTCTGTCAAGACATACAAACTAAAGAAGATGCTTTCAACTATAGTTAGTGTTTTACCACAAGAGACCAGTAGAGGGCAAGAGAAATAGATTAGATTTATAAAATGTAATGGATGACATATAAGCAAACGTTCAACGTGTCAGCCTGGTATAGACTGTAGTAGCCATATTCATCAAGTGCATTATTCATCACTCTGATTCACAAAATGTAAACAATGAATGCTATTCAAATGTACCACTAGATATTTGCAAAATAAGACAAACAGAATAAAAAGTACAAAATACACCACAATGGTGTAAATGTCATACCAAATGAAAGAGTCATTATTCATTTCATCTTCATAACTTATTTCATTAGGGTGTTGTATAGGCTGTTCAATTGAGTGTGCACTTTGCAATTTGCCCCACACAATGTGAGTTGTCAACTTGTCACAATGGATTATCAACAAATAAGAACAGAACTGACTAGCTTTGAATACCGTAGATTTTAATTTAAAAACCAAACTCAACCTAATAACACAAATTAACTCATAATCATGCATTGTAAACAAAATGTGACCATCATGTGGCACGACCACTTTACTGTGGACTTTGAAATGTAATGTTCTCTGGCGGCACATAGATCCAGTTATTATGCAGAATGTAATGTCTTAGGACAACAAATTCAGTGTTTAAATACACTGAAGCACGAATGATCAGTTATGTAACAGTCTTATGTAATAGCAATCGGCCTATTCTGAATATCAATCTCATATAAATATGATTTAATCACCTTCTTAATTGACTGACTTCCGGAATTTAGAGAAACGTGTCCGAATAAGGACAACCCATCATACAAATTGTTCCAGACTAACCTCATAGTTCTTCCATGGCCATTTGTCTGTATCAAACCATTTCGGCCTATATATTGATTCGTACTTAAGCGACACACTGAGGCCTTGGGTGGCATAACAATCAAAGGCTTATCAGACAACGTAATTCATTAAACAGATTCCCTCTAACGTGGGTAAAGTGAGATCCGGAGTGGCTGGTGGAATATTTACAGCCGTCGCATTGATGGACGCAAAAGCAGCGCTGCTCTGAGTATTTATAGCCATGGTGGAGAGAGAGAGGGGGGAGCGAGAGGGAGAGAGCGATAGGGAGGGAGAGAGAAAGAGAGGGAGAGAGAGAGGGAGAGAGAGAGAGAGAGAGAAAGGGAGAGAGAGAAGGAGAGAGAGAGAGAGGGAGAGAGATAGTGGAAGGGAGAGAGGAAGGGAGAGAGATAAAGACTAGTGGCTCAGCTGCAAGTGCACGGTCGGTGGTTTGCGGCTTAGATCCGGAGCAGCTTCGAGGAGTGTGGGAGAGACTGCTCAGTCAAGGCAACTACAAAAAACTGCATTATACGTGTTTTCCCGGTCGGTTGCTAAGGCTTGTGGGTTTGCCACTTTCGTTTTTGCCGATAGTCCGTATTTGAACCCAGCTTTGCGAATGGCCAGTCCGGCTGCAGATATAGGACAACCGCACCAGCGACATCCTCTCGACTCGGCCTCGGATGCGGCGTTTCTAGAAGCGCAGAACTGGATCGAGGTGAGTCACTGTTCCTATGAAACTCACATGCGGCCACGCTATTTGGTGCAGAATGAGCACATAGGGTCGAATCATTTACATGCGTCTGATTTGCCTAAAAGGTAAATGTCATGTCTCATAGGCACGATGGACCACGCGTAATCGGGTTTATTGCCTCAAGTCACCTGTTGAGAAAGTCGCACATGCATCAGCCACTTGCCTTAAGCAAGTATTTGGGCAAGTTTATGGATATGGGCGCAATAAATGCACCATGTGGACATTATTTTGCCCTCAGTGCGAGCTTAAGGGACAATAATCGTACCACCGGTTTTGTTCCATGAGCTTTTGAATCAATCAATGGCCTTGTTGCACTTGAATTTATTATACTGGAATGAAATGTCCTACTGTCCTACTCAACACAATGTGTTGGTAGGTGTGATGGTACATAGCTGAGCTTCATGAACTATGTTAAACAGTTATGATGACTGTATAGTTTTATCAGTTATCTCTCTCACAAAGCTTGCTGTTTCACATCACAACAAACACAAATCTACCTGGACCGGCCGGGGTTTACATTAACACTTAAGACACCATTACTGGCCATCCGGGTCAGCAGCTAATGTGCCACACATTTGAATGTGAAGTGAGCAGGAACCGTTGGGCTGGTTGTTGTTCTTTGTGCCCTCAGGGGGACTGATCTCATTACCCACAGCAACTTGCTGTATGTCACTGTGTCCCTTTGGGGGTCTTGAGAGTCGACACATGGGTACCAGTTTTTGAATGAAACAAGCAAAAGCCATCCACAGTGATGAGAGTAGAATGAATAGCGTTTTTATTTCCCATTTCTCAGCCACAGGTTAGTTATATTACTTAGCCATGCCATAGTCTAAGGTCTTGTATTAATTTCAACATTAAAATGATACCTTAAGGAATACTTGCAGGCCCATATATCCAACATCTGTAGTTTTAGTGTTGCACTACAGGTTTATTAACTTCTTCTAAGTCAATATGCCAATGGACAGGTTCGTAGTTTATGTTTACTTAAGGTATTCTTTTAGGTGATTTGGGATCATGTCCACATGTCTTAGCTCTTGTTTTCTCTTTTTTTGGTTAGCAGTGCCTACATTTAGCTGAACATCCTAATGGCTGTTTAACTGAACCATGTTTACAGTTTCTCCTGGTCCATAGACTGAACTTAAGTGTTGTTAAACATGAATGTACGGTTAAATCAACATTTGTCTGGTAGCATGCTGTATTGAATAACATATACAGTGGGTTTGGAAAGTATTCAGACCCCTTCACATTCTTAAAGTTGTTTTGGATTCAATAAATAATATATATATATATATATATATATATATATGTTTACAGTTTATTGAAAACATCCTTCCAGTTCCTTTTAAGCTCTGTCACATTGGATAGGGTGTGTCTGTAAACATTGGTTGGGGTGTGCTACTTTTAGGTGTGATGTGCTTCTGGGCTAAGGCTGGAGCATTCAAGGACAACCCCAGACTTGTCCATAGCCACACCAGCATTGTCCATGCTGTGTGCTTCAGGTCGTTGTTGTGCTAAAAGATGAATTGTCACCCCAGTCTGAGGTCACGTGTGCAAGTAGATACTTTTTTGACCTCTCTCTTTTGCTCCATTTCTCACCCTAAATCCTAATCAGTCTCCCTGTCCCTGGTGCTGAGAAGCATCTAGCACCATGCTGGCCTCTCCATGGTTCATTGTATAGGGATGGTATTAGCCAGGTGATGAAGTAACCTTTTTTTGACATTGAGGCCCAATAAATATGTTCTCCTCATGCCTTTATGGTCCTTTTTATAATGCAATTTTGCAAACTCCAGATGGCAATGAAGATGCCTTTTAATCGGGAGTTGTTTCCGTCTACTCCAATTAATGCCTGATTGATGGAGTGTTGCAGAGATTGTTATCGTCCCGGAAGTTTCTTCTAGGGCTGCAGAGAAACTCCGTTTAGAGTTGGCTCTAAGATTTTGTTTACCTCCCGACCAAGGCCACGTAGTTTGACTGGAGGCCTTCTCTAGGAAGAGTATTGGTTGTCCTTCTGAACATCTTCTGTGAACATCAAAGATCCTCCACCATACTTCACAGTGGAATGATGTACTTTTCTGCATGGCTTTTTTCTGTCTATGCCAAACTCACCTCAGGGGTTTCTTTCCAATGTGCTCTATGTTCGTTTCATTTGACATTGAACGTTTGGTGTACACTCCCAAACAAGTTGTCGTAGGTAATGTCTAATTGTTGTTTTAGTGACTTTCTGACCCCAAGGTCCAACAAAACAACCTCAACAACTTTATGTTGCACATCGTTGCTTGATTCTCAGGTCTTTTCAATAGTTATGGATGACTATGGAGAATATCCAATAGGTGGTAGGCTTACTATAATCCCATCCATAACAGCCACTGGTGAATATCCAATAGGTGGTAGGCTTACTATAATACCACCCATAACAGATACTGGTGAATATCCAATAGGTGGTAGGCTTACTATAATACCACCCATAACAGACACTGGTGAATATCCAATAGGTGGTAGGCTTACTATAATACCACCCATAACAGCCTGGTGAATATCCAATAGGTGGTAGGCTTACTGTAATACCACCCATAACAGACACTGGTGAATATCCAATAGGTGGTAGGCTTACTATAATACCACCCATAACAGCCTGGTGAATATCCAATAGGTGGTCGGCTTACTATAATACCACCCATAACAGACACTGGTGAATATCCAATAGGTGGTAGGCTTATTATAATACCACCCATAACAGACTGGTGAATATCCAATAGGTGGTAGGCTT